CCTGAAGAGAGCGAGACGAGACGGTAGTATTGTACACATATGGGTTTTGGAGAACTCGCCGACACTCGGAGCCGCATAAGAGCTGATTGAGATGAGTGCATTATACGCAGCTACATTCCGAAACATAGTCAGCGTCGAGACGCAGAACGCAGAGACGGGTAGGAAGGGGCGTACTGCTGGGCGCTCCTCTAGATGCGTTCGGCGCACACAGGGCACTCGCGGTAATCCCTGTAAAGCTGACCGACCCAGTACGCCGTGGTGGGGTCAGGCGCAGGATCCCCCCCTAAGACGCTGCGGATGAAAACGGCGGTATCCTGGGGCGCGCGACCATGGGTGTCGAAGTATTTCCGTGCCCGTTCGAGAAGACGTTCAAACGAAAGGATGTTTGAACATCCGGTGCGCTGGTCGACTTGCGGCACCCGTGCGATAGAAGCGTAAGGCTGTACGTAGGTTCGGATCTTTGTCCGGATTGAGCCGTTGTGACCCAGATCCGCACCCGTAGGTTCGGCTCTTGCGGTTCCGGGTTACCGGGTACCGGATAAGCGCCGGCTCCAGGTCAGAGACTTTGTTTTGAGGTCAACCCGGCGCGGGTCGGTCGAAGTACTGCGCGGAAAGGCAGTATTTGAAGCTCACTCAGGACGGTCTTTAGGTGCATAAACGAAGTGTATTTCAGACATATTTGTGTAGCACAGGCAACCGTCACAATGATGAGCTTTCCAAGTACATGTCACTACCGAAGCACTAGTAGCCGCCCGCACCGCCCACAGCATGACTGCCCGCCCTAGTACCCGTCATCCGACCCATCAGAAGGCGTCTTCAGCCCTGGCATAGACGAATCGCTATCGTATGCGCCGTCGTCGTTCGCCATCGGCATGCCGGTGAAGGACGTAGGAGCTCCGTTAACGGCATGCGTGGTCGTGCTGGCGCCTGACGCAGGCACGGGCGCGCGCGACGTGATCGCGCTGGCGCCGGACGCAGACACGGGCGCGCGGGATGTGGAGCCCTCTGCGATGGAGGGGGAGGAGGAGGAGGCGGGAACGGATAGGACGTGGATAGTTTCCCTCGGCATGGAGGGGTCGAGAGCCGGGGAGGTCCAGCCATCGGTGGTGACCACCGTGTGCCCGGGGACTCGCCATGCGACAGGCGGCATGCCAAACTGCTCCTCCGTACGAGCCGGCAGGTCGCGCGGCTCGAGGATTTCCTAATAGAGATGTCAGCCTGCGCGCTAGGTAACATGCAAGTACACCATGGTACTTACCAGGGGGACATTGTTAGTCATCCACTCGTCGATCTCCGCGATGTCGGTGGCGGCGTCTTCATCCCGGTCGAGAGCGAGCGCGCTGACGACGAACATTGTCGTGAATGCGATATACTTGCTGAGGGTGAGCCTGGCATCGTGCGTGGCGAACGCGCGGTAGGTGAGGACCACGCGCAGTAGGAACGCGCGCTGGTCGTCGTCGTCGTCCGCCGCGGCTGTGACGATGGGCCCTTGGATGGCCGTGAGCCAGCCGTCGAAGAATTCCGGGTCGAGATTGTCGGGGTCGCACGTCGGGAGCAGAATCTAGAAATGAAAGACATGAGCTTGCTGCAAACTCCAGCGCGCGCAAGCTGACATACCGTAAGGCCAGTCCCATTGACTTCGCTCTGGAGTACGAGGCTCACCCAGTTGATGTGGCCTTCCCCGAGTCGCGCGCGGCCGCGCGCAAGCGTAAACAGATGAAAGATACCCATAGCGGTGGTGAGAAGGGGTTCTGGGAGGTGGGGTGTGCGACGTACGAGAAGGACAAGATATTCGACTTGAAGGGCCTGGTGTGCGAGCTTGCCTCTCGCCGTGCGCATCTGAGATTCGCGCGATACGACTGTCGTCCGACTTGCTTCGTCCTCGCGGCTGCCGATCAGGCATGGTCCAGTGTGGTCCTCGTGCATTGCGCACCCGAGACGGATGAAACAGATCGTGTTTTCGAGGGGACAAGAGTGGTGCTCACCGGGCAGATAGAGTCGCCAAGTGCGGGGCAAGCGCCGTAGATCCCGATCGTAGCATGGCCACCGCAGACTAGGATGGAAGGTGCCTGACGGCTTCATACGGTCGGGGCTCAGAACGAGTGAGTAGCGCAAGCCAGTGACAAGGAGGGCGGCAGGTACTGTGCTCGTTGGTAGTGATAGGTCACTCGCAGGCGTTGGGCGCTGCGCCCGTGCTGGCTCGTGCGTGGGATGGGATATAGTGGACATAGGCGCGTCATAGGCGCTGTACTCGGCCTTCCTCCCGCTTCCTCCCCTCATCAAGGCATATATTGTTCATCCCATCCCCCCTCCAACGCTGTAGTCCTGCAGTCCCTTTCGATGGGATCTCCGGCGTATTTGTACCGCCCGATCGAGCTCAGGGCAGCCCAATGGCCCCCATGAGGCTCCCTATCCGGGTTTCGGCTCACCGTCACCAGGTTGCGAGTACGACGGTCGGCCGTACAGGTCCAACAGGTGAGCCTCGCAGTTCTGAGACGATCTACCTCTTCACATCTCAAACTGACCGTTTTTCCAGCCGCAAACTATCACCCAAGTGGTCGATTAGTGGTGCCCCAGCTCGACAAGATCTGAGACGGCCCCCGTGTCGTGTAGTAGCCACGTCAGCGCTGCATGTCCGCGGCCCGGGATCTCTACGACACCTAGAGACACTCCCTGCGACAAACCGAAGGCTGACAGTGCTCGCTTTCAAGTTGGTGGACGCGCCGGCAGTACAAAAGCTGCTTGGCCGCTCGGTACGTCCTCATCTCCATCCCCCACTTCCTCGCTCACCTCGTCCTTCGACTCGCCCAACCGCTCAGATGTCGTCCATTGCTGCTGGCAAACGCCCTGCTCGCGACGACGACGACGACGGTTCTGACAGCGACAGCCAGTGGGTTGCTGTCCCAGCCCCACGCAAGAAGAAGGCGCGCACGGGCGGTAGCTCACAGGCGGTGGCAAGCTCGGATGACGAGGCTGACGGCTTTGTGGTTGTCAACAAGCCTGTGGCCGTCGACGACGCTGTTGCCGCTGTCGCCGCTGTTGCGCAGCAGGCGTTGGCCAACACTCAGCCTCGCCTGACGGCAGCCCAGAAGCGGGCGAAGTTCTTGGCGAAGTACTCTGGCAAGACGCCAGAGGAGATCCTCGGTATGCTCTCCATAGCCATGGGCGACTAGAGCTGCGCTAACTATGGCCTACAGACGCGCTATCCAAGAAATGGCGCTCCAAGGTTTACGATCACTTCAAGAGGGCCCAGGTTATTCTCCCTGCAAGCGACGGACCGGTCGTCCACCGCTTCGTGTGCAAAGCGTACGTCTCTATTTGTCTAGCGCCTGATACATATGCTAATGCATCTTCTAGTCATCCGGGCACTTGGGTTGACCGATCGGACTACGAAGACTCAACCGGCAACCTCGGGTGTCACGTCCTCAAGTGCGAGCCCGCCAAATCCCCGGAGAGCGAGGCAATCAGCGCTTTTGCGGCGGGCTCCACGTACTCCGCCGCGCGTGTGCGGTACTACCTGGCACTCTGGTGCGCGCGCCGCCATCGCCCGTTCTTGGCAGTGGAAGATCCGGAGTTCCGCGCGTTGCTGCGGATGCTCTACAGCCGCGCTGAGGTCCCCTCACGCGTAACCGTCTCCCGTGATGTGCAGCTCATCATGAGCCACTGCAAGAACAACGTCATCGCTCTGTTTGAGGTATGTCCACGCCGCTTTCTCTGACATGTAGCCCATCAAGCTGACGCATTTCTAGGCATATCCCGGCCGCGTTCATATCTGTGTTGACGGCTGGACATCACCGAATATACTCGCGTTTTTGGGCATCACGGCCCACTGGCACCACAACGGGGAAATCGTCCATATCATCCTCGACTTCGTTCGGTACGTCGAGTAGTCAAGAAGCGGCCACGTCATACTAACTTGCTCTGTAGCCTCACCAGCTCACACACCGGGAAGTACCTGGCCGAGAAGCTCATCGAATGTCTCACGGACTACGGTATCGAAGAGAAGGTTAGTAGCGGCTGTCCGAGTCCACGCGATCAGTGTCCTAACATGCGCATAGGTGCTGTCCGTGACCTGCGACAACGCGGAGAACAACACGACGATGCTCAAGGAAATGCACGTCTTGGTGCCGAAGTTCCGCGGCACGCTCGTGCGTGTGCGCTGCTTTGGCCATGTGCTGAACTTGGTCGTTAAGGTAAGTACAGACATTCTTATCACGCTCACTTGTGCAATACGCTGACTGTGATGCTCGTTTCTAGGGCATTCTGTCGCAGTTTGGGCGCGCTGGCAAGCTCCTCGAGGCCGTCGACGGCGACCATCACGACGACGACGCCAACGAGGACGACGCCGAAGCCGCTGAGGAAGCAGACGAGAACCGCGAGGCCGCGGACGAGGCGATACTTGACGGTCTCGACATCGAAGACCTCGGTATTGCCGTCTCGGCAGACGACATGCGCCTGGCATCGGGCGCACTGACTAAGGTGTGTCCGCACATGTTTCCCTGAGCCCTGTCAGTACTGACGAATGCGCAGGTCTTGAAGCTCTCGCGGAAGGTGTGGAACAGCCCGACCATTCGGTCGGAGCTCGCGAGCCTCGCTGCCGCCGCCAATCTCCGCAGCGAGGTCCTCATCCGCTGCGTCAAGACTCGGTGGAACACAGTGACCGAAGTCATCGGGCGCGCCCTGGAGATGCGCGCGGTCCTGTCGGACCTGTGCGACATGGTGCAGTTCAACAAGCCGCGCGGCGCGCGCCTGCGCCAATACATCCTCGGCGACGACGAGTGGGCCATCCTCCAGCAGCTGCATGATCTCCTCGACGTGGGTACTGGTTTTTTCAATCTCGGACACTGTCGCTGACCGCTTTTTCTCTGTAGCCGTTTCTCTTTGCGACGAAGGAGATCTCCACAAGTGGACGCGCCCTAGTCCACCAGGTCATCCCGTACATCGACGTACTTACGCGCCACGTCGACGGTTTCAAGAACAACGAGAACCTCGCCCCCGCTGTGCGGGCCGCGTCTCAACGCGGCCGCGTCATCCTCGACAAGTACTACAGTCTGACCGACGATAGCATCATCTATCGGATTGCCATGGGTTCGTACAGGTGGCTATCAAGTATGCTCATGATCTAACCATCTCCCATTGTAGTGCTGCACCCGCGCTACAAAATTCAGTACTTCCGCGATCAAGAGTGGCAGGAAGAATGGATTAACGAGGCGCTCCGCCTCGTGCGCGAGGAGTGGACGACTTTTTACAAGGAGCAGCCGATCGACGAACCCAACGGCGGCCCCAACGACGGTCACAACAGCGGCCCCAACGGTGCGGCGCCGGGCTCCGCCTCGTCGTCGCGCGCAAGCGCACCGGGCAATGCTTCATCCGCGCGCGCAGCGGTGGGGGGTGTGGCATCGTCCTCGCGTGCCGCCGCGGCCGGGCCCTTTGCCGGAGTCTCTTCGTCTGAGCGTGTGCGCGCGCGCGCGTCCGCGTCCGCGAGCGGCTCCGCTGGCTCTACGTCATCGCGTGCAGGTGCCACGGGTCGCCACAGCGCACAGCGCGCATCGCGTCTGGTACGTCCTGGTATCCCTTTGACGGTTGTTGATGTAATACTTACTTGCTTATACAGCCATCGTCGCAGTCCCTCTTCGCCTCCATCTCGAGCCGGAACCGCGCGCCCCAGCAAGACGAGCTCGAGACCTACCTCGAGGCTCCCCCGCTGTCCTCCGTTGAGGATCCCCTCCAGTACTGGAACCTTATGTTGAACACATCAAACTCGGCGCTGGCCCGGATGGCCATTGACTTCTTGACTGCACAAGGTAAGCCTGCGTCGTCGTTGATCTGTTTCCTTCTATGCTGACTATGACCTCTATTGTATAGCCACTTCAACAGACTCAGAGCGGTCATTCTCCCGGGGCAGGCTTACGGTCTCGCGTCTCCGCCACTCTCTCAGTGATGAGTCGGTGCGTACCGGGACCGTTCTCGGCTCGTGGAGTGATATCCCCGAGCTGGTTCCCGAGGCGGAGGTCGTCTCCCTTCTCACGGAGAAGTCTCGCAAGACGGGCGGCTCGCGGGCGGCTACCCTTCCCGCGCCTGCGGTGGAGGTCATCGAGATCGAGTAGAGTCCCTACGCTATAGTGCCATGTATCCCTTATATTCTGTTAATGCAATCACCCCCGCTCTTTGTCTGTAACCTTGCTTGTGTGTATGTGGGCCTTCCTTATGCTTGTGTCAATGTGTGGCCTTGAAAAATCGCGTTTTTGTGTGGTTTGTTAACTTAGAATCTTTAATCAATTATATATTTCTCGGATACGGATCTCTTAGCAGGTTGACCTGTAGGTCGTAGGTTCGGATCCGCGGATCCAGCTCATTTCACAGATCATACCCGTGCAGCTCTAGGTTCAAGTGGTCGACCTGCGTAAACCCGTAGGTTCGGGTCCGGATAACCTGTAGGTTGATCCGTGTTCAGCCTTAATACTCCTCGGCACAGGTGACTTTGTCGTCTTGCACCTACAATTCCGCGTCGGCGACGACAACACCATCGTCAAAGACTGGGAAGCCCTCGGCACCCTGGAAGCCATCACGCTCCCTTGGGCGCCGTGGGATGGCATCACTGCCTATGCCGACGTTGCCGCCTCCCTCCGCAGCGTGCAATCCCCCTTGGCCGACAAGAGCGGCCCTGCGGATGCCGGACTACTACGCGTGCCCTTCGATCAGCACGCGGTGCACAGTTACTTTGCCGATTTCATCGAGCACGGCGAAGACGCGTACATCCGAAGCCACTTTGGGGACGCCCGTGGGGATATGGTACGCGGAACGGATGCTGCCATGAACTCGATGGCCCTGGAGGTGCTCCGCAGAATTGAGCAAGCCGGTAACTTGGATATACTGGTGGAGCGCCTGAGGGAGACCGGCATGGTGAGCTCGCGACCAGCTTGAGTA